GGGGAAAAAAAAATTCTGACCAGCTCTAATATGCAGTGAATGATTCAGCCAGCTGTCCCCAGAATCCAGACAAGTAATCTTAATCAGTGTCATGCTTCAGTAGGGAAAAAATGACGCAGAAAAGTGCCAAAGGGGGCAGGAGCAATCAGAGCTGCAAGAAGAGGGCACAAAAACCTTTCCATCTGCTGCACCAAGGAATTTTAGGCTGCACTTAGTTGTGCTAACCCCTTTGAGATGAAAAGGTCATTTACTTTGCTGATGGGCTCAATGTATCTACATATACAATTTGCTACGTCATAGTGCATTTAAAAAAAAAACAATATGAAAGAGTCGTTTTTTAGTTCCACATTGGTTTCAGTTAGTGCTCTGAGTTCATCACCCGTCTATACCTCTAATACAATTTGATCTTCAGACTATGCATAGTAGTTCTTCAACTATGCGTGGTACTTATTTTGCTTTTCTGAAAATGAATAATCATCTCATTCAGCTGTTAGCCAGTAGTTCCTTCCCAGGCTCTTTCTATGTCACCACGTGCCTCTGCTATGTGAGAGCAGAAAAGTTGTTTTCATTTGCTGCTGCTCTTACAAAGCCATCTAGGAAATGGAATAATCAGCTCCTTTAGAATCCTTTGGTTTATTTCCAGAATGCAGAACTATTTTCAGTTATTCTTTTTCTACAGGCAGTCACATTACAGACACTGAAAGGGTATTCAAGTTCATACAGCTATTCTGTATACACGTGTAAGGGACCGGGATGTAGGCAGTCATGTCTAGTGGTCACAAATGGCCTGAGACCTACCCACCAGGGACAGGAGTTGGAGGAATTGCAAGGTCAGGTCCCATAAACAAGACTCAGGGTCAGAGTCAGGCCTGGTCAGAGACTGGCATAGGCGACACGTGGGGTCACATGCACCCCAGATTTCTGCCAGGATGGGAGTTGGGCTGAGCAATGCTAAAGGGACGTGCCTGGGAAAGGCAGCAGCCACGAGCACTCCTGCTGAACCCTACTATTTGTTGCCCAGAGCAGGGAAGCGAGACTGGCCTGACAGCACAGCTCTCCGCCAGAGGGGGCATGGGGAAGCCTGCAGCTACAGTTACCTGCTTGAGTATGTGTCTGGACTAGCCTGCTTGGGGTGCACGGAAGGGAGCTCAGGGAGTCACTTGGGGCAATGGGAGAGGGTTGGCAGCAGGGCCCGGGGGAGCTAGGGGTGGGGTGGGGAGCCCAGGGAGGTAGCAGGGGCCAGGGGCAATGGGTGGGGGTCTGGGAGAGGCAGCGGGGGCTGGGGCAATGGGGAGGTGGGTGGGGAGCCCAGGGAGGCATTGGGGGGCCAGGGATGATTGGGGGATGGGCAAGGGGCCAGGGGAGGCAGCAAGGGCCAGGGACGATGGGGGGGATGGATGGGGGACTGGGGGAGGCAGCTGGGGCCAGGGCACCAAAATACAAGTTCGCTCAGGGTGCCATTTTCCCTAAGGCCAACCCTGGCAGGGCTGGTCTTAAGGGTGGGCAATCACCAAAGATGCTATGGTCAGGGGGGTGCCAGGGTCAAGAGGGTGTTGGTGGAGAGTACCTTGGCAGTCACCAGGAAGTTGACCGTGGCAAGGGGAGGGAGGTTCTGCCATTGTGTCCCTCACCCCCAATCAGCAGTTACCAGTCACCTACGGCTGGAGATCAGAGGTAGTACCAGGTTAGACTCAAAAGACAGGAATCAGGGTTGAAGTCAGGCTGGAGTCAGAGATCAGGCAACAAGGCAAAGTCTGGTGTTGCAGCAGGCGAAGGTCTGTGTGATTACCCAGACAACTTCCTGGGGCAACTCCTGGGGTTAAGTAGAGGCACTTGGCCAATCAGAAGGCAGCAGGATACAGTCACTCTGGGTTGCATAGGTGGTATTTCCTGCAGCACCTACTCTCCACAGTGCTCCCTGACCATGGCCTCTTGGTAGCATTGTGGAAATATTAGCTACCGCAGGCTCTGCAGACCTGGTTTCCAGTCCCTGGGTCCTTAGAATATGTCATAGCACTGCAGTGACTCAGCCTAATCTCAGTGAGCCTGATTCTGTTCTCAGTTATGTTGGTGTGAATCAGAAGTAGCCCCACCAAAGCCAGTGTAAAACTTGTACAAGTAAGAGCAAAATGAGTCCCGGTAATGTTCTGAAGTACGTTTTAGTTGGTGTGGATAATAAAGAGTGTAATGTGACATTTAACACTTGTTTTTGGAGAACTGTTGAGCTACATACCATGTCTGCAGTGAGTACAAATTTGGATTATTCTTTTGAGACACGGATCTAGAAGTGTTGCTAACATGTTCTCGTCCCTTAAAGATGTGCTATCTCTGTGAATACAATAGATTAGAAAAAACATATTCTGGCTCTGTATTGCCTATTTTTTCTTCCAACAAGGAATCAATCTGCTCCAGAAGTCCAGCTCTTCTTCACCTGCTTGAAAACCAGAACACAGTATAGTTGTTCTTTCTCCTATATGCTTGTGATATGTAGCAGCAGGAGACCCATAATTGCATAATCAACAACTTCCTAAGTGGCCAACTCCAACAGATAAGAGAAATGAATTAAGCTGGCAATAAAG